GAGGTTCACACACACACACACACATACATGCGCACACACACAGACACGTACACAACACAGAGAAACGCATAAAAACTCACAGCTTACATTCAATCTTGTATTTGTTGCTGCTTTCAGCCTCACTATACCATTGCAGTTTCCGCTGCAAATCCGAACTTCAGACCGCTGAAGGGTAACACAACATCTGCATCTCGGCCACGCATTCACCCAAACTCTAGCGGGGGCTACGAGTCGAGAAAGCCTCGGAACCTTCTGCAAGCCGTCCAAACCCATCATCCTAAGCCGTCCCCTACTGAGCTCGTCAGCACGGACCCGGAACCCTAAACCCTAAACCCTAAAACACCTTGAAGCCTCAGCCTAAGCTCCCAATGTCCGCAACCCCACAGGTCTTATCTTATCTCCGAAATCGAAGGCGGCAGGCCCCAAAGATCCCCCCCCACCCCCGGACTCCTATAAATCCAGGCCAAGATCCTTATGAAGCCTGCGAGAAACATGAAGCCGTGAAAGGCCCTGATATAAGACGAGCAGAGCCAAGTTTCAATCGTTAAGGCATGACATGACAACTCCCATTTTGCAACCGGCTTGCAGGCAGAACGACTCCCTAAGCCCCAAACCAAATCCCAGCGCAAAGCCGTGCATAAACTACCCTATACCGCAACCCTAAAACCTGAACCTTCAAGCCCCAAACCCTGATCCCTGAAACCCTGAACCCTCCAAAACCCCCCCCCCCTCACCAAACCTTGCAACATCTCAAAACACCCCCCAAAAGCCTATCAACACCCCTGCCTTAAACCGGAGCTCGCAGTCTGGATCGTTGCAGCGGCCATAGCTCCAGCCCTGCTTGCCTTGGCTGAGAAGACTAAAGATCCTGGTACTTCGACGGTATTTGAAGCTTTAGGGTTTAGGCTTCAGGGCTCTTCCGGGTGTCTCTCTCTCTCTCTCTCTATATATATATATATATATATACATATCTGTATGTATATGTGCGTAGGTTTAGGATTCAGGGTTGCGGCCTCACGCTCGGACTTGCCAGATGAGGATTTCGACACACTCGCACAAGTAGGCTCGGATTCAGGCGACGGGGTCACGCATCTAGCTTCTACAGGGACGGGTGACTGTGCGATACACACTCAAAGACCTCACATGAGGATTTGGGGTTTGGGGGTTGAGAGCTACATACACATGATGTAGGGGCCTTAATTAGTAGAAAAAGGTCTTGGGGTATATTAGAGTATAGCTACAAGGAAACCCCCCAAAATAGTACAGGTAATTCTTGAGGCCATATTGCCCAGAATGACGGGGTTTCCGGGTTGCTTTGTTCAGCCGGCCATAGGTCAGAGCTCAGGGGCAACTGAAACCTGAGCCCTAAAACCTAGAACCTGAACTCTAAACCCAAACCCCTGAATCCTGAACCCTAGATCCCCTAACCCCTGAACACTAAACTTCTGAACCCTCAAGCCCCGAACCCCAAAGCCCAAATTCTAAAGCCCAATTCCTAAAGCCCTGAGTCCGCCAACTTTCTTTATTCGTTGCGCCGGGCTGCTGAACAAGCGGCCGGACCATTGAACTCGCACCGTCGACCCCTTGACCGCAAGGGTTGAAAAGGCTTACCATAAAAACGTTGCTGGTCGGGTTACCTACTATAACGGCTACTATGATGTAGAGTCTACTATAGGGGGTTACTGTCCGGTCTTGGGCCCACGGGGCCAAGTTCATTGGGGTTTTGCTTTCGTCGCGTTCACTTCATGCTCGGGTGGCCTCCTACTATATGGAGTCTTTGACACTACACTCCAGTATCTCATCTGCAGCAAAACACAATGACAACAGGCTATCCGGCCTGAACTTTTCAAACTCAAAAAGCACAAGCATCGCGACGGGGCCTCATTGGCTTCCGCGCCTTTGCCTGGGCCATCGACTGCAGAAACCTTCTGATCTTGAGTACCCAAGCTGTACTCAAACCTTTGTTCAGCCACCGGAAACATGATGCCAGCGGAAACGGGGGTTCAAGGAGGTTCCGGCTCTGCAACCTCAAACCCGAACCCCTCATTGCAGCCCCCGAACCTTCAGATTCCCTCCTCAAAACCGTGAAAATTCGCCCAAACCCGACAGGCCGAGAGCACAAACCCAAACTCCATCTGCATGCCAGGTCTCAAGAAACTTCGACACCTCGACCCTGAATGAATCCTAATTAAACCCAAACCCTGAAACCCTCAACNNCAACCCCCCCCCCCCCCCCCGCTCCTGCATGAACCCTGAAACTTCAAAACCTTAACCCCAACCCGACTCCTTGAACCCCAAAACAACCCCGAAACCACCGCAGCCCCCATTCATCAAGGAATCTAGCTTAGATCATAATAAGATTAAAGCCCCGTCTACTAGTACCTTACAAATTGAGGAAGATTCCCTCCATTCAGCAATCTTCGGCTCTGTGGGTCGCACCTGTGCGCAGCTCGATGAACTTCAGCCCGCGGCTTCCGAGGGCCTGGGTCGAAAAGTGCGTTTGGGTTTCGGCTCTCACACTCGGACAATCCAGGCGAGGCATAAGGTACGAGGTCTGCAACAGTGAAACAGGGTTTAGGGTTTAGGGTTTGATATATAGGGATTTCTGCTGAGGGCGGTATGGGG